TCCGGCTTTTTTCTTTTTGCTTATGTGGTGCTAAGGAATTGAACCCAGGGCCTCATGCTTGCAAGGCAAGCGCTCTACCACTGAGCCACCTTCCCAGCCCATGGCAGTATAGTCTTACTGAGGGTGTTGAAGAGTTGTTCCCTACATTGACAGTCCTCAATTTCACTTTGTGCACCTTGGGTCTACAGAATAAAGGAGCCACTGATTGGGACATTGGGAACCCAATGGCTCCAGACTGGGCTCTACCCTAGTTCATTGTGTGATTCTCTCCTGTCAGCTGGGGCTTTTTGTGGAGTTCAATCCTGAGGAGATGCTGCTGGGGATGGACGAGACTGAAGATGATGGGGACCTGGAGGCTGAGCTGCTGGCTCTCACAGGGGAAGCAGGGAGCACAGTGAGGAAGCCAGCACCCAAGGCACAGGGTGAGTTTCTGCCACTGGCCTGGGCTCGATGTGTATATGGTGGATAGGGTAGTTGACTTGTAGCCTGTAGGATCTAGCCACATCCCTTGGTCCTTTTTTTGTGCCTGTCATGGGGCTTGAATTCAGGGCCTGGGCACTGTCCCTGAGAAATTTGCTCAAGGCTAGAGCTTTACCACTAGAGCCACAGCTCCACTTCCATGTTTTGATCGTTACTTGGAGAAAAAGAGTCTCACAGACCTTCTGACTGAGCTGGCTTTGAACCATGGTTTTCCAGCTCTCAGCCTTCCAAGTAGTTAGGATTATAGGCATGAGCACCTGGTACTCAGCTTTCCTTGGCCTGTTTTGTTTTGTTCTGTTTTTGCCAGTCCCAGGGCTTGAACTCAGGACCTTGGCTCTGTCCCTGAGCCTTTCTGTGCTCAGGGCTAGCACTCTACCTCTTGAGCCACGGCACCACTTCCAGCTTTTTCTGTTTATGTGGTACTGAGGAATTGAACCCAGGGCTTCATTCATGCTAGGCAAGCACTCTACCACTAAGCCACATTCCCAGCCCTCTCCTTGGCCTTTCTGTTTTTGTTTTTTTGTTTGTTTTTGTCCGTCATGGGGCCTGAACTCTGGGCCTGGGTGCTGTCCCTCAGCTTTTCAGCTCAAGGCTAGTGCTTTACCACTTGAGCCGTAGCGTCATTTCTGGCTTTTTCTGCTTATGTGGTGCTGAGGAATTGAACCCAAGGCCTCATACATGCAAGGCAAGCACTTTACCACTGAGCCACCTTCCCAGCCCCTCCTTGGCCTTTCTGCTACCCACATCCCTTCTCAGCTCTCCTACCAAGAGGACAATCGCCTGTGTGATAGTTCTCTCTGTCCCTGAGCTATCACTCACCCTTGTGGACAAATCTGATTCTCACTGTTAATTCCGGTCACTAGCATTAGCTAGGTCTTGGTGCCCAGAAGGGGCCCAATTAGCACTGGGCACATAGTACTTGTATAAAGATTCTGCTGAATGAATAAGTGAAGTCTCCCTTTGCTGACTGCATAGAGACAGAGCTCTTAGGCCTGGAAGGATGGGGGAGGGTTAAATCTTCCTCAGAAAGAATCAATCATTCCTTCTTCCATGTGTCACTGACCTGGGGATGATGAGTGGATGAGGAAGGGGGTCACAGATCTGTGCATGCTTTTAGATTAGACAGCCTTGTATATAACCCTCACCAGCTTGTTCTTTGTTTATTCAGTATAATAAAATGGGGGTAGTATTACCCATCTTGCAGAATGGTTTTGAAGCTCAAATTGATGCTAAAAATTTTTACAAATGTGAAATGTTGGAGGTAATGGATGCACATATTTAAGAACTACTGCAGAAATGTAGCAGAAGGGCATCTTGTTGCTCATTGTAACCCAAGAGAGTGTCCTTCCCTGACAAGGGTTTTGAGCTGGGTCACAAAGAAAAGGAGTTTTCTTTTTTTCTTTTTTTTTTTGGGGGGGGTCCAGTCGTGGGGCCTGAACTCTGGGCCTGGGCGCTGTCCCTCAGCTCTCCAGCTCAAGGCTAGTCCTCTACCACTTGAGCCACAGTGTCACTTCTGGCTTTTTTCTTTTTTGCTTATATGGTGCTGAGGAATCAAACCCAAGGCCTCAGGCATGCAAGGCAAACACTCTACCACTGAACCACCTTCCCAGCCCCAAGAAAAGGAGTTTTCTGACTGAGACTTTTCTGTGGGAAGGAAGGGTGACTTCTGGGTGGGCACATATCCCAATGCAGTAGATTGTAGACAGTCCTTTTCTTGTCCTGAACCTTATTTGAGTTATCCTGACCTTCTGTGACCCTTTTTTCCCCCCAGCACCTCTGCCCATGGCCCACATCGAGAAGCTGGCAGCAGATTGTATGCAGGAAGTGGAGGATGAAGAAGATGAGGAGGAAGGACTGGAGGAGGATACAGATCTGCTAGTGAGTCTGCCAGGCTGCCATCCAGTCATTCATTGTTCAAGGTTGGGCCTGATGGGGGTGAAGCCTTGGACAGAAGCCGTGGGTTTGCCTCTGTGTCTCTGACTTTGATGTACCCTTCCCAAGCTTGTCTTCCTGCCTCTGTAGTACAAGACTTCTCTCCTTTAACTTCTCTATAAGCACTGAAGTTGGGATTCTCAGATTTGATCTTTGCTGTTTTCAGTGTACTTGGTTATATTAAAGAAACGTTTTGGGCTGGGCGCCGGTGGCTCACGCCTGTAATCCTAGGTACTCAGGAAGCTGAGATCTGAGGATCATGGCTCAAAAGCAGGGGAAGGAAAGTCCATGAGACTCTTATCTCCAATAAACCACTAGAAAACCACAAGTGGCGCTGTGGCTCAAGCTGTAGAGCGCTTGCCTTGATCTGAAGAGCTCAGAGACAGTGCCCAAGCCCAGAGTTCAAGCCCCACGACCGACCAAAAAAAAAGAAATGTTTTGGGAGACTGGAGTTTTGGCTCAAGTCTGGTAAAGCACCAGCTGTGAATGAAAAAAGCCCTGAGTTCAAGCTCCAATCTCAGCACTAAAAAATAAAGCCGGGCAAGTGATGGCTGACACCTGTAATCCTGGCTACTCTGGAGGCTGAAATCTAAGATTACAGTTCAAAGCCAGCCTGGGAGGAAAGTCCATGAGACTCTTCTCTTCCCATGAGACTTTCTAACTACCAGAAAAAAAAAAAAAGCCAAAAATGAAGCTGTGGCTCAAAGTGGTAGAATACTAACCATGAGCAAAAACTAATTGAGAGTACGAGGCCTTGAGTTCAAGTCCCAGTACCAGTGCAAAAATATAAACAAACTAGAAGTGTTTTGGTAAAGGAGACTAAGCACAAGTACTTGTCACCGGTGTGATTATGAGGCCTCCATGTTTCTGGGACTCATACCTCCCCAGACAGAGCTGCAGGAGGTCCTGGGTGTGGATGAAGAAATTGGATCACTGGATGGTGGTGAGGCCAAAAGCCCAGACCTCTCTGAGGAGGATAAGAGGCAGGAAGACACTGAACCTCCAATGAAGACAGCCTTCCTCATGGCTTCCAGCCCGGTGACTGAGGTAAGTTCTGGAGGTGGGTCCCTGTGTGTTGTGACACCAAGGCTGCTAAATAAACTTTCAACAGCCGCTTCCCCAAGGAGAAGCCAAGTGTGAGAAACTTGATCTGGCCCCTTTAAAGGCTTCTTTGTTTTCCCAGAGTTTCCCTTGAAGCCATTTCTAGGCCTCCACAGGTTGTCTGGGCTTCTGTGTTTGCCTGACCTGACCTCTTGCTTCTCCAGTGGGTCTTTACCTCATATCTTGGAATTTTGGGCTCTTTGTCCTGAGCCCGAGAGCTCCATCTTCTGGAGCTTCCACACAGGGAGCAAGTGGCAAGAGCCTCACTGGCTAGAGAGTAGAGCAGCCCTGAGATGACGTATCTACAGGTTGGTGAGCCTCGGGGACTACAGGCTTTGCTGGAGGAACGGATCCATAACTACAAGGAAGCTGTAGCCAGTGCCAAGGAGGCTGGTGAAGCAGCGAAAGCCAGGCGCTGTGAACGAGGTCTGAAGGTGAGTTGGGCCCCTCAGGAGAGGAAGGCTATGGGTAAGGTAGCAGGGTACGCCGCACAAGTGGAAGAGAGGCTTCTCTCCCAGCCTGCTGGATATGATGGACCACTAGCCTGTCTTTGAGCAAGACCCAAAGGTAAAGATGGCTACTTGGGATTCTGGACAGATTTTCTTCCTTAGACTCTGGAGTCCCAGCTTGCTACTGTGAGGAAAGGCAGAAAGATCAATGAGGATGAGATCCCACCACCAGTGGCCTTGGGCAAGAGACCCCCTGCCACCCAGGAAACTAGTAGAAATCTGAAGGCGGACTCTCCAGCTCTTCCTGCCATGGACCCAGGTAGCTGGAGATACGTAAATACTGCCTACTTCCCAGGGTCAGTGGCCTCCCCTCCCCTCCCTTCCCATTGGCACCAGTCACCTTCCCCAAGAAGTCCATTGACTGTGGAGACCAGTGACCACTGGGAACCCCAAGTGCACTCTCCCGTGACTCTTACTCCATTCCTGGGGGATTTTTGTTTCCTGTAGACAGTTCTTCACAACATGAGACCAGCCTCCCAGAAAGCTCTGCCATTGCTGCCTCACCTGATTCTGCCGCAGACCCACAAGCCCTCCTCTTGGCTCGACAGAGAGAGTACAAGGTGGCTGCTCTCACTGCAAAGCGTGCTGGAGATCTAGACCGGGCCCGAGAGCTCATGAAGATTGGGAAGGCAAGACCTCTGGCTTAGGGACGCTGTCCCCATTCTGGGTTGTATAGATGTATAAGTGGAAGCTCGGAGAGGGAGCCAGACTGGGGGAGTTGTTTCAGCCCGGGTTCTTAAGGCTTACTTGGTTACATCTGTACCTGCTTTTCCCACTACTACAGAGATTCGGTGCTGTCCTGGAGGCCCTGGAGAAGGGGCAGCCTGTGGACTTGAGCGCTATGCCCCCGGCACCTGCAGGTCAGTGTGGGAGAGTGAGGCATCTGCTGGGGCTGGAGTTGGGTATTCAAAGGTGTAGGGCTGGCCAGGCACCCTACCTACAGTTCTTCTGCTCTGGGTCCCCAGATCTGAAGGAACTCTCACAGGCTTCTAAGATGCCGACAGCAGTCCCAGGCCTGTCCCCAGCAGTGGAGCGGGTACAGCCAGTGATGGCCCCTGCCATCCCAGCGACCGCAGGTAGGACAGGCCGTGAGACTGTGGAGAGGTGGACTTGAGGAGAGGCAGGCAGAGCTGATGCCTTCTTCTTACCCATGTTAGTGGCCCCTGCAGAGCCACAGACAGTGCTGGACGCCCTCCAGCAAAGGCTGAACAAGTACCGAGAAGCCAGTATCCAGGCCCGGGCCAGTGGGGATGAGCGCAAGGCCCGGATGCATGAACGAATTGCCAAGGTGGGTGCAAGGTCCTTCAGTCCCCTGCTCTGTGTTGGCCTCTTTCTCTGCCTGGCTGCTCCCTTTTTTTTTGCTCCTTCCACTTGTGTTAGACTTCTCTGCGTCTCCATCTCTGTCTCTTGTTCTTATGATCTCAGGGCTCTTTCTCACAGAGCTCTTGTCTTCCCCAGTCTCTTTTCCCCTTGGTGGGCATGGAGCCTGCAGACTTCAGTCCACCAGAGGTTCTTCCCTCCCTTCCTTTCTGTGCAGCAATATCAGGATGCTATTCGAGCACATCGAGTAGGACGGAGAGTGGACTTCGCTGAGTTGCCTGTTCCTCCAGGTGAGTGAGACTTCTTTATTCTACGGGCCCTATGAGGTCTCCTGAGCAAGGAGAGGGAGCCATGAAAAGACTATCCGCAGCCTCATGTATACCTAAGGTGCTGCCTCCCCTCCATTCTAACTTCCCTCGCAGGATTTCCCCCCATCCCTGGCTTGGAATCCAATGTGGGCACCTCAGAAGACTCAGTGGCAGCAACTTTGGCAGCTGCCCAAAGACTAGCCTCAGAGGATGCGGCCCCAGCAGATGAAGATGAGGATGAGGACAAGGTTTGACTGAGGGCCCAAGACTCCAGAACATGATGGGTGGATATAGCAGACGAGGGGTAAATGAGACCCTGTGGTTCACACTTAACAAATCCAGTGAGGTCAGTATCCTTGTCTCTATTTTAAGCTCCGTCCCTGTCAGAGCTAGAACTCAAACCCAGGTGTTTGTGGCCCTGGGCTTCTTCAGCTCTTAAGTTGCTGTAAGACTCAGGAGAAACCACTAAGCTCCCATAACACAGTGGATTAATGCAGCATTAGGAAGAGATCTTAAGTCTGAGGGCTGCCACCTAAGCATGGGGAATGGCCTCCTGACAGCTTCCTGGCCACCTGCAGGGTGAGACCCCAGCGCAGGCCCCAGTGGCCAAGAAGCCGGCACAGCCTTTGGGCCCTCCAGCCCGGTCCTTACCTGAATCTAAAGCTTCAAGTTCTAAGGAGTCACTGAATCCATCTGGTGAGTTGGAGACAAGCAGGATGGAAAAGTCAAGGGTCTTGAGAGGGGCAGGCATGGCTGCCCTAACCATTGGCTTTTCCCTTCAGTGCAGGAGCAGTTAGCATTGCTGGAGGCTCGGAAACTGCAGTATCAGCGAGCAGCTCTGCAAGCCAAGCGCAGGCAGGACCTGGAGCAGGCCAAAGCTCACATGCGGGTTGCCAAATGTCTTGAGGCTCAGATTGCTCAGGCCAGAGTTGGCCGACCTGTTGACTTTTCAAAGGTGAGTTCTAACTGTATATGCACAAGGTTTTCTCACTTGGTAGTCGGGGCCAGGCGTCATTGACAGGCAGGGCCCTGGACGAGGGTGGTTCCTGGAAGGAGGACAAATTTGGGTAAGATGAGGTGACAGCTGGAAAAGAGCATTTTGCTTATGCCTTTCTTTCCATCATGGTCCTGGGAGAAGTCAAGGGAAGGAAACAAGGACTTCTTGTAGTCAGAGGTGTCCAGACAGGACAAGGCTAGTGAATGTTAGTCACTGAAGGTGGTAGGAGTTCAAGAAACATCTAGCATGGATTCTTGCATCTGTTGGGTTCAGTAAAGGAGTAATTTGACTCTTGGGCCCCGAGGGGCCTGGTGACCTGGGCAGGTGCCTTCACCCTTGACGGATGAAGAGGGTGATTTCATCCTTATCCACCATGAGGACCTGCGACTATCCCAGAAGGCTGAGGAGGTATATGCCCAGCTACAAAAAATGCTTTTGGAGCAACATGAGGTCAGTAGGCTGTGTGTCTGCCTCTTCCTTCCTTTTTAGCACCCTTGGTCTCCCTGTGGAGAAAGGCATGGGGCTCAGAGTAGGTGGGCCCCAAATTGTAGTTCTTTTACTTATTGGCTGTGTGCTTTGGGCAAGGCACTTCCCTTCTTGAAACACATTAACTTCATTTGTAAAACAGGAGGATGCTAAAAACCCTTCTTTCAGGATGATTATGAAGTTGAGACAACATAGTTAAGAGGATTGTACACTGTAAATGTTTTCCTGTCTGTCTCCCTATCTGATACACAAGATAGTGTTTGGATTCAATTTCTATGTCTGTGTGTGTGTGTGCCAGCACAGGGGCTTGAATTCAAGGCCTTGCACTCTCATTTGGCTTTTTCACTCAAGACTGGCACTCTACCACTTGAGCCCCAGCTCTACTTCTGGCTTTTTGGTGGTTATTTGGAGATAAAAATTCTCACAGACTCAAAATGTCTCACAGATCTCAGCCGCCTGAGTAGCTAGGATTAAGGCATGAAGCTTTTTTTTTTTTAATTGTGAGAATACCATACAGAGGGGTTACAATTACATGGGCAAGATAATGAGTACATTTCTTATCAAGCATTGTTGCCTCCTCCTTTGTTTCCCCTTCTTATCACTTCCCATCCCTCCCTGTCTCCCCCCACCCCCCGCCCCGAAAAGCTGTAAAGTTCGTTTTTCGACATAAGCATGAGGCTTTTTAAGTGAGTTTTTCCTCAGGAGAGGAAAGAGCAAAGCATAGGCAGAAGAGGTTGATGGGACATTTGCTAGGGGAGGAGAAGTGAGGCTGTAGAGGAAGGTCGGCTTTAGCAAGCCCTGCCTGGCTCTGGAGTCACTACGGGCTCATTTTTCAGAAGTGCCTGCTGTTCTCCAAGCAGTTCATGCACCAGGGCAATGTGGCTGAGACAACCCGGTAAGTACCAGGGCTTGTGGGGTAGGGAGCAGACAAGGAGCCTCACCCTGCTGACGTTCATAACCGTCTCTGGCAGGTTTGAGAAGCTTGCTGAGGACCGTAAGAGACAGCTTGATATCCTGCAGCTGGCTCAGGCCCAGGGCCTCGATCCTCCCAGCCACCACTTTGAGTTGAAGACATTCCAGACTGTGAGGTGCTAATGCCTAAAGGAAACAGTGGCTCTCTGCAGGGTTGGGGCAAAAGGTTGAGAGAAAAAGCCTGGAGACTTGTCTTTAGTAAGAGTTCCCAGTGCCCCAAGTAGTAGGGTAGGAAAAATTTAGAATCATAATGGCTGTTGAAAGAGCTCTGTTCCAGAGTCAGAGACAAGGTGTATTTGTGCACTACTCTGCCCCATCTTTACCTGATGTTAGAGGTGTAGCTCAGTGGTAGGAGGTGCTCTGGGCTGAACCCCCAGCAGTGCAAGTTAGCTTCTCTTACCTGGGGTCCTTGCTTCTGGCACTAGTCAACTGGGCAGGCAGTAACTGGAATGGGAGCATTGTTCTACCACTCTGTTTCACTCCAGGCTCTCTCCATTCTTCTTGGCCATAGGATCTTCTCAGAGCTCAATAGCACAGAAATGCATCTCATCATTGTCCGGGGAATGAACCTCCCAGCCCCTCCAGGTAACACAAGTGCAACCCTCTGCAGGAGGATCTGGACCTGACGCCACTCTAAGCGCTGGGTTTCTGGCTACTCCCTCTGACCCAGCTCCCTTTTGTCTTTACAGGGGTGACCCCTGATGACTTGGATGCTTTTGTGCGGTTTGAGTTTCACTACCCTAACTCGGTGAGGCTCAGGTAGTTAGGATCCTCAGAATCCCAGAACTCTGCTCAGTTTCTATCTGTGGGTGGTCTGGCTATAAAGGGGTTTGAAGACTTTCCAGCCTGTTCTCCACAGGGTCTCCTCTCTCAGCACTGACCTAGTCCACAGTTCCTGGCCCCTATATACCCTGTTTTTCAGGCTCTCCTGATTATGTCTTCTCTGCTTTAGGACCAGGCTCAAAAAAGCAAAACGGCTGTGGTGAAGAACACAAACTCCCCAGGTGAGTGCCACCTAAGTGCCCCAACTCACTGCCATCCCCTCAGTGCATAGCACTTGTGTTTCCAGAATACTTTCAGATCTTACTAATCTTACTTGGCCTACTCAACTTTGGAAATGCAGGTGTGATTAGTACTACTCCTACATAATTGGGGAAATTGTGGCTCAATAAGGTAAAAGGACTTGCCTAGGGCCTCAAAGCAAGTTAGACTCTCATCCAGGAATTTTTGTGTGTGTGTGTGTGCCGGTTATGGGGCCTGAACTCTGGGCCTGGGCACTGTCGCTCAGCTCTTTAGCTCAAGGCTAGCACTCTACCGCTTGATCCACAGCGCCACTTCTGGCTTTTTCTGCTTATGTGGTGCTGAGGAATCGAGCCCAGGGCCTCATTCATGCACCACTGAGCCACCTTCCAAGCCCTCACCCAGGAATCTTTACTCAAATTTTAAGTCCTTTCCACTTTGTTACAGTCTGTATAAGATTACACAGCTTCCAAGGCCTGGACCTACATGCTCTACCTCCCTCTCATGGCACACACCTGAATTGCAGGCTGAGGTCAAGAGAAGAAACCTGCATGGTTCTTCATTTCCACTTTAGGCAATCCCTGGGAGTCAGGCTCCTTTCCTTCTCCATCTTTTGTAGAATTTGATCAAGTCTTTAAACTAAACATCAACCGAAACCACAGAGGCTTCAGGAGGGTGATCCAGAGCAAAGGAATCAAGTTTGAAATCTTCCATAAAGGGTGAGGTTCCCTTCAGTAACATGGCTAAGGTGGGCAGGGAGACAGTTCTGTCTTTTGGTGCCCTTTTGGCTACTGCACAGTTCTGAACAGGGCTCAGCCAATTCATTTCTGCCTTCCTTCTCAAACAGTCTAATCCTCTGCTCTCTTTTGACTTCCAGATCTTTCTTCAGAAGTGATAAGCTGGTTGGCACAGCACACCTGAAATTAGAACGACTGGAGAATGAGTGTGAGATAAGAGAAATTCTGGAGGTAGGGTATTCAGTGGGCAAGCTTGGTACGGGGAGAGCCAGTACTGATGAATGCCAGCCCTTACTAAAGACAGCTTTTTCTGATGTGCTGTGGAAGAGGTGGTATCCCCATTTCACAGATGGAAAAGGTTAAAAAAGAATGAGAAACTTGTGATAGGAAACAGCCATACTGTTACCATAACATCCAAGTCCCAGGGATGAAAGATGAGAGAAGACTGTTGTGGAGACTGATACACAGCTGTGACAGTTGACAGATCTATTTCCAGGTTTCTAGGGGTAGGGCTGTGTGTGATTGGAACAGTGAGCTAGCCTCATGAAGAACTAAAACAAGCTATAGACTTGAAACTCATATAGTATTTCTGGATGAGTGACTCATGAGAATGCAGCTCGTCTGTGCTTAGGATATTGGCCCCCAGATCGCTCAAGTTTCCATGAACTGAGGGATTACACAGGCAGTAGACTCTTGCAAGCTCCTCAAACAGATAGGGAAACTTGGATTAGAGATGAAAATGGGTTGTTAGTCCCACAAAATGTGTCCTGCGCAAAGCCTGGTCCAAACCATCCTTAGTGAACTTTGGAAGACCAAGGCTTTCTCCACTGAGCTGCCCGGCCTCCTGCCTGCCTGGAGGAAAAGGTGAGGCCTGGTTTGTACTGGCCTCATTGAGGCCTGTGAGATTTGTCAGATGTCTTGCAGTGCTTTGTGCTTCAGCTGCTCTTGCTGTGCTGAAGGAGGGTAGCAGGATAGATAGAAAGGAACCCTTGACTTGGTTCTGGTCAGTTAAGACCATAGTTATCTTCTCTAGGCCTTCAGTGAAGTGAGGGTTTGGGCTCTGATTTTTAGGCTGCTTCTTGAAGCCAGTGTTTTGTTTGTTTTCTCCAGGAGTTGCCATTGGGATTGAGGGGAAAACTGAGTGAGAAAGCTGTAGGTTTCTCATGGTCTCTTCTGTTAGAGAGGACTGATGCTTACCTAGATTTCTCTGTTACATATTCATAGGACTTACCTAAAACCCACACATTGGGCGGGCAAGGCTGTTTCCATAGAAGATTATGATGTGAAGCCCTGCAGAACACCTTAGCTCTTCTCTTCTTGGGGGCTGCCTGTCCTTTTAGTTACAATCTCCGGCTCTGTGGTTCTCATAGGTCCTTGATGGAAGGAAGCCCACTGGCGGGAAGCTGGAGGTAAAGGTGAGGCTGCGAGAGCCTCTGAGCGGGCAGGATGTGCAGATGGTCACTGAGAACTGGCTGGTCCTGGAGCCCAGGGGCCTGTGAGGTAGGCAGCTCTCTGGACCTCGAGAACCCTGTCTTCTCTCTGCCTGGTCCCCACAAATAAAACCCTTCTCTTAGCTTGTATCTGGGAAGAAAGCCTCCAAATTTCTCTTCTATGAGGTAGAAATCTTGAGTAGGGCTCCCAGGCGGTGTTTCTTTTCCTCAGTAGAGAGGGATGGTAACCTTCCAGTTCTTAACTGTCTTCAGGAAACCCCTTCTGAAGTATTTGCTTTTGCTGCGGTTTAAACTGATTTGCTTTGCTTTTGCCCTGTGCAGCAGGTGGTCAGCACTAGGAGAGAACCAACCAGCGGTGATGTGAACCAATTGGCTTTCCCAGCTTCACTAGCTTTGAAAGTCTTTGTATATAAGAGATGCTGCTACACAAGCACCAAAGACCTAGAGAATGGGCCCTACTAACCATGGTTCTGGCTTTCCTCTTACGGGCCCCTTCTAAGCCTTCATGGAAGCAGGCTGGATCCCAGAAGCTACCCCAACCTGCCCTAAATGTGGGTGAAGGCAAGGAAGGATTCCCTCATTGCTCTGTCATGGAGTACTTCAGCCCCTTAACCTCTGCATTGCAACTGTGTGCAGCTTACCCCTGCTCCCAGTTGTACTATTTCTGGATGTGCCTTTAAAAGATGTAACTGAAGGGACAGGATGTGTGACGGTGATCGGAACTTCCACTAGTGTTCCGTGATAGCTGGTTAGTCCCGTTCAGCCAAGTTTACCCCAATTCTGCCTGTGCCTGTGCCTTTGTTCCTGACAGCTGCTGCACTAGCCTTCCTGCTTCCCAAGGGACAAAGTGGAAGAGGAAAGATACTTATGGTACTACTTTGGTGGGAAATAAGGGTAAGGTTGTATCTCGGGTTTGGTCCATGTACCTAAGAAGGAAGACTGATAACAGAGGAAAAAAATACATATATATTTATATTAAAGTTTATGTAGTCATTTTTATTTAAGAAACTAGGTCTCGCTCGTTGTAGGGATTTTATTCTCTACACACAGTGTAAACCATCAGTCTAAAACAACAGTCCGCTTTAAAAGCCAAGCTCACAGTAACACGGAGCCACTGCACTTGTGGCTTCCTCACTTGAGAGAAAAGAAGGGGAAGAAAACTCTTCCCCTCAGCTGATCACCTGAGATTTCCCTTAATTCTTTCCACAAAGTTTTCCTGTGGATGGAAACAATGAAGGGATTTGTAGTATATTTAATATTCAAAACTACAGTATTCTACATTTTTTTAAGAAATAAACACCCTATTCCCTATCTCTTTTTTTGAAGCATTATGTTCAATGAAGTGTTCTTCAAGATTGTTACTAAAACCTGTAATGAAGCGCTTATTATAGTATTGTATAAGCATAGCTCAGGGACTGAATTCAAGCATGTGTTGGGAATAACAGGGACAGGCCATGCTTCTGTGCCCCAAAGAACAGAGCCTAGTGAATAATACAGCAGGACTACTATCAAAGGATTTTTCTAACAGCCCTCTAGCTCCTATCTTTCCTGTCATTTGTGAGCTAGACATACATGAGAGATTGAACCCTCAATTGCTGTCTTATATGTCAAAAAGTAATCTAGCATGAAAAGAAGGGTCATCACCTTTGTGAAATGACCTAGAGCAAAAAGGGCTGGCCTGAAGGATGCAACCAGTCCTTAACTTCACTTTTGTGTTTGCATCCAACCCAGAATGTGCCAAAAAGGTGGAATTATCCTCAAGTTCTAAATTCATGCCTGTGCTAGGAATATTGTTTCAGTCAGACATTTTCCGTGGCTCTGAAGGTTTTTTCTTAGGCAGCCCGCTTAATTTCAGTGTGCTTCAGCTGAGATGCCCCACAAAGCCACCCACTGGACTTAGAGACTAAGGTTCTTAAAAGGCCTTTGTTGTGGCCAGCACATTCATGGGAGTGGGAGTGGCTTGCAGAGCTTCATCTTATCCTTAGATCTGTCCAAATAAAGTAACCAGCATTGGAGGTGGGGAAGACTAGGAACTAGCCACAGTCCAAGTAATCTTCAAATTTTATATTGTTTGGTCTAGTACAGAATATACTTCTGAATTGGCAAACTGAAGAAATTTTAGCATTAGGAAGCTTTGGTCAAAGTGCAAATTCTTGAGTGACTTTAACATTCTTTTTTCTCTGAAACCTGCACAGTTGCTTTCAAATTCTCAATACTTACTTTCCAAATATTTGTGGTCTCTCTTTTAAGATTTTGGTCTTTTCAGGTTGAACCCAACATTGGGGCTGAGATAGGTGGATACAGGGAACTTGCACCTGGTCTAGCTCTATCCCAGGTGGATTCTTCTCCTTCTCTGGGTATCATTCTTTTTCCACCCCCTGGCCCTTGTATTTGTACAATCCCTAACAAGTCTCAATGAGTTTTAGTAAACTAGAAACCTCCATCACAGCTTAATTTCAGAAAGTGTTGAACAGATTATCTGAAATAATTTCTTATGACCATAGATAAATCAGAAGTTTGAGGCTTACCAGCAGGAACCAATCTAAGTAAGGAAATTACACAGTTAGATCCCCCATAAGTCCAGGTGTTCAGAAATTGTTGCTAAGAATAACGGGAGAAACTACACTGCCAGGCCATTTTATAAACATGCAATTTTTTTTTAATTTAGTAATTACCAGAATGGCAATTTTGTTCCTTTTCAGTTGTCTTTAAGTTTACAATATAGAAAATGTCTGATTAGGAATGTAACGTTTCAGCATTTAACTTTGTATGATATAAAACCAAAGATAAGAAGGGGAAAAACTAGTTTTAGTTGTTTATGTCCTGTTTCACAGGATGGTTTTTCTACACATAAAGGGCATTTTACACAGTTAAGAATGGACCCGATTATACAAGGCCAGAGCTTGAGTGGGAGAGTTAAAAGCTTGCATTGACTGTGAAGAAATCTGTACAATGGCAAACTGTATTTGTTGGGAGCAGGAAGAAAAGAGCTAGGAAATCAGGACAAGCCTCTAGAAGCCCTGGACTTGTGAGGTACATTTATACTAAGCTTGCTATGGACACCACATATACCTGCCCTTGTAAACAACTGCTGTGGGTCTCGTCTGGTTGGTGGGGTAGTAGTCTGGCAGTCCCAGGGCTCCATCCTTTACAACTAATGCTGTGTAAGCTAAATAGCCCCTGAGAAGCTTGGTGCCTCTGGTCTATGAGAAAACTTACAATCAATTCTCTGTAGGTTTTATCAGCAAAGATGGGAGGGAGATGTGGAATGTAATCCTCACCCAGCCCCATGAAGAGGATAAACTCAGCCAGACATACTTCAGACTAGGCTTTTGAGAATCTGGAAAATAGCTTCAACCTCAAACAGCTGTATAGCCTGTTATTGCCAAGTGTTGGGCCCAGCTGTAGCTTGGGAAACAGCCTCTCACTGTCCTGGAACCCAGAACATTTGAAGAACACTTTGGCTGCAGAGACTAAATCCTGTACTAAATTCTGGACTTTGAGATGATGTTAAATATAATGGAGTGGGTTTCCTGAGAGCAAGAGTTTTCAAATTGGGTTGTGACATCCTTTAATAAGAAAATGAGCACGGTTCCACATATATCCTGGGCAGACCAGACTTGGGTTTCTATATATTATCAATCTCACTAAGAAACCAGCACTTCTAGAAACACTGGTTGATTCCAAACCTGGGGCAGGGCAAGTACATGATTAGCCTGGAAAACCTTGTTAGCTATAAAAGGAAAAACTGAAAAATTATTAGTATGTCATGATGATGTAGGGGCCAACCTGAAGGTACTCCATGAGTCTAAAACATCATTTAAGCACCAAAGGAAATCACTGAAGAAAAAGTAATAGGGATGAATGGCATTTACACATGGCCAAATCCAGCTGCTACCAGTGCTAGGGCTGCAAAATCATTTTGCAGCTGTCATAGTAAAAGATCAGTACAGGTAAGAAACATCAATGGATGCTAAGTCTAGGGATACTTTGTTGTGCAAGATGTATGTATGGTGTTAAAGTGACTCTGCATGTATTAGCTCCAGTTAGGAGTGGAGAAATTGGAGGTCTTGACCAAGTGACCAGATTTACCACCATCAAGGAGAGGTAGATGGCTATCAAGTGATTGTGGTCAGATATGGATAGATTCTAATAGTGATCAATGAAATATTTTCTATTAAAAATAGGTTTTGGGGGACTTACAGTCACAAAAAAGTACCAAGGATAAACGCAAGATTATGACAGATAAAAATTCAGGAGAGCTACATGCCATTTCTGGTCCTAGGCTAGAAGTCTTACTGGAGATGAAAAATGACCTAGATATTTACTAGGCAGATCACATATAAAAAAATGTGATGCTGGGCTAGGAATGTGGCTTAGTGGTAGAGTGCTTGCCTAGCATGCATGAAGCCCTGGGTTCCATTCCTCAGTACCACATACACAGAAAAAGAAGTGGTGCTGTGTGTGGCTCCAAAGGTAGAGTGCTAGCCTTGAGCAAAAGAAGCTCAGGGACAGTGTCCAGGCTCTGAGTTCAAAGCTAAACACCAGCAAAAAAAAAAAAAAAAGTGATACTGACTGAAGTTTAGAAATGCCTGCAATTATACAATATGATTCTTTTTAATTTTCCAGTCTGAGGCTTGAACTATGGGGCCTGGGTGCTGTTCCTGAGCTCTTTTGCTCAAGGCTAGCACTCTACCATTTTCAGCACTTCACCACTTGCAGTTTTCTGGTGATTAATTGGAGATAGTCTCAATGGCCTGTCCTGCACAGGCTGGCTTTGAACCGCAATCCTCAGATCTCAGCCTCCTGGCGCCAGGCTCAGGATGTGCTTATTGACTTCGTTTATGGGAATTGACATCACTTAAATTAACATTTAAGGGAAAAGGGGTTATGGCATTTGCAGCTTTCTTGGAATTGCTTTAATTTTATGGAAAGAGGAAATTTAATAAATGTGTAAAATGTTGGCCTGAACAATACTGAATCTGGGTAAAGTGTAGTTATTGCTTTTTTGTGCTTGGAACTTTCTCAGCAGTTTAAATGGTTTTCTTTAAAAAAGGTTAAAATATTTTTAGTATATATTAACTAAAAATCCCTTGGGTATATTTTTGTCAGCTTTAAAAGAAAGGTTCATTTTGATGTTTGCCATTCAGTTGAATAGATCTTGTGTGATCCTATACTCAGCTGTGCTAGCCAAACAACCTCATTTACAAGAGCTGCCCCTTCCAAAGCTAAAAGAGTAGAAAATCCCTTTGGTCTGTGATTCACTTCAGTGAATAATCTAGCTAAAAATAAAGAAAAAGTGTGATTTCTACTTGATAAAACAGGTGTTATATAACTTGGACAAAGATCAGTGTAGAATTCTTATACCAATTCTGTACAAACAGTGCAAAATTGATGCTTCATTGTTTATTTCCCCTCTGCCCTCCCACCCCAGCCTTGGTGATGGTTGTACCCATTTTGAGCATTTCTGAGCACATGACCATAAGTAATCTTAAAAGAGAGGAGCAGAATTCTGTCTAAGACATAAGAGGAGGGGATTAGCTGCAAAGATAGCATAACTGTTGTGCAGTAACAGAAGCTCTCCAGGTCTTCTTGGTGGACGATGCATAGAAGGTTTAAAATTGTGGAACATCTGTTCCCCCCAACCACCCCATCCCACCCTTGACACTAGGTCCCTACTCCCATTCTATTCCACGCCCCCCCCCCATTAATAGTGTTAACAAAAGCTTAATCTTCCAGTTTTAAAGTGCAAATGATTTGGGTATGACTGCTGTTGCAACCGGTCTGAACAGAAAAAAATGAAGTCCTGTCTAGGCGATGTTTTCCAGAATATAAAAGATAAGTTCCATGACGACAGGGCCTTCACTGAGCTGACAGGCACCTCCATGGATCACCGGCACCAAGGCGCTGTCCAGATCATTCATGTACTGTGAAGGAAGGGGCTGGCCATTGCTCCCTGCTTGATAGCCAACCTACATCACAGAGAGAAGGGGATGATGGTTATTGAACAGAGAAGATCCCTCAAGGGGACTGAGAGGGAAAGGCAATGCCTTTCTTAGCCATGAGCTAGACACATCATGAGCGGACACAGATTCCAACTCTTAATTGTCATTTATCATCTTGTCATTTTATTTTTATTTATTTTTGTCGGTTGTGGGGCTTGAACTCTGGGCCTGGGTACTGTCCCTGAACTCTTCAGCTCAAGGCTAGTGCTCTACCGCTTGAGCCACAACACTTCTGGTTTTCCGGTGGTTTATTGGAGATAAGAGTCTCACAATCTTTTCCTGCCTGGGCTGGCTTTGAACCGTGATCCTCAGATCTCAGTCTCCTGAGTAGCTAGGATTACAGGCATGAGCCACCAGTGCCCAGCTTATGCTGTCATTTTAAATCCTGGCCACTGGATAGTTATAAGATTTTAGGTCAGTCACTTAACCAGCTAATGTCTTTGTTTCCTGGAACAGGCAGAGCATGTAGAGAGGTAAGGTAAATCAGAAATAATACCCTAACTTTTGGCTGTGAAAACTGAAATGAGAAAGCATTTATTCTTCACTCCATCTGGTCATCCATGCACCATTTTCTGAGTACTTGCAAGCACTAATTCACAGATAGATAACAGGGCCCCCTTCCCTCAAGAGGCTCAAAAATTCAGCAGGAGGGCTGGGAAGGTGGCTCAGTGGTAGAGTGCTTGCCTTGCATCATGAGGCCCTGGGTTTGATTCCTCAGCACCACATAAGAAAAAAAGCCAGAAGTGGCGCTGTGGCTCAAGTGGTAGAGCACTAGCCTTGTGCTGAAGAGCTGAGGGACAGCACCCAGGCCCAGAGTTCAGGCCCCACGATCGGACCCAAAAAAAAAAAAAAAAATTAGCAGGAGCCGGGCACTGGTGGCTCACACCTGTAATCCTAGCTACTCAAAAGGATCTGAGGATCAGGGTTCAAAGCCAGCCCAGGCGGGAAAGTCCAAGAGACTTATCTCCAATAAACCACTAGAAAACCGGAAGTGGCACTGTGGCTCAAGTGGTAGAGCATTAGCCTTGAGCTGAAGAGCACAGAGACAGTGCCCAAGCCCAGAGTTCAAGTCCTACAACCAGGGAGAAAAAAATTAGCAGGAAAATGCTTGTTCTCATTGCTTTATGTAAGGGAGTTTTCTGTTGTTAGATGATCAGTACTATTTGGGATGGAAACACAATACTTCACTAGTATTATCCTGATATTGCTTCTTGCAGCCTATGGCAAGATCTTAGTAGCAAGTATTGGTGAGTAATGCAGAAATGTAGCTGGACACAGCTTGCATTCTGCCCCGATAATGGCATAGAATAATTCTGCATAGACTAATGGTTGTCCCCATAAAGCACTCAGACCAGAAGCAGGTTGTTGACTTAATTCTGGCCTCAGAAGTAAGCAGAAAGCCTACACTCACTTCTAATGACTCAAAGCTAAGGGGTTGATTGGAAGCATCAAAGCAGAGAGCTGGTGGGACATGTCACAGATCCAAGAGTAGTATAGATTTATTAGCGTGCTAGACCACAGAAAGAGACATGGAGACCAAGAATGGGGGCTGGAGGTTGAAGGGTGGATCATATCTACAAAGAACATATAAAAACATTGAGACAGGGAGGCAAGTCTGGTAATAGGAGACTTGTAGGAAAATTACTGGGGAGACAGTCCAAATCTTGGCCATTATCTAAAAAACTGATAGTAAGAAAAACCTTATTAGCATGGCCCAGTGGCTCATGCCTGTAATCCTAGCTACTCAGGAGGCTGAGATCTGAGGATCACAGTTCAAAGCCATCCCAGGCAGGAAAGTCTTTTGAGACTCTTATCTCCAATAAATCACTCAGAACCAGAAGTGGCACAATGGCTCAAGTGGTAGAGTGCTCGCCTTGAGCTGAAGAGTTCAGGGATAGCACCCAGGCCCAGAGTTCAAGCCCCGTGACCAACCAAAAAAAAAAAAAAAAAAGGAAAAACCAAGAAAAACCTTATTAGGTATGGCTAGCCAACCCAAACTTGCAAAACAAGCTTAGGGACAGTGTGGTACTGGGCTAAAGGGTAGCACAGATGCCAGTCACTGGGGTGGTATGTTTTCAATCTCCTCTCCTTACCCCCAAGTAAAAAGGGAAGCAACTCTTTGGAAGAAATGCAGGTGAAGGAGCCATTGTCCAGTGGTTCTGAGAGTCTGACCAAGAAACATCTGGGGAGATGACTACTAGAAGGGGTATCAGAATACTACATCTGTTCAAACCAGAGGCCTGGAGATTTAAGCTTTAGGCTGAGTCAGAAAAACAGGAAATATAGGCTGCCCAATACCAGCTTCAGAGGCTGCCTACACAGACCCTTCTTACCTGATCTGAGTCTAGCGTCACACGTAATCCCAGTTTTGTCATTCCATCTTCCTTCAGAAGCTTTAGGTGGGGACAGAGAGCAAGACAAAAGGCCTTGGCCACATGCTCAGTCAGTCTGCTATGATCTGCAGGATCACTCAGGCAATTATGCTGGTCCTCATTTTCTAGGAAAAACACCTGTTCCCAAACAAAAGACACTTACTTTTTGACTAGATGTTGGGGAAAAAAAACCAAACAGATAAGCTTGTTGTATGTGAGCATCCTGATTTTCTAAGATGTGCAAGATGACCTGACAGGAGCAGGACATACAAAGACCTTGGGCCAGGAAAAGAAGGGCACAAAAAGATGTGAAAACAGTCTTGTATGAAGCAGGATGACCATGAAACAATGGTCCTGGTCCCTGCGATGTCCTGGCACCAGCTATGTGCACCTGGATGAGACCTAACTCTCTTGGCCTCAGTTTATGTGTGAAATAGAAAGCCAAAAGTCACTTAAAATGGAAAGGAATCCTAGAGATCTTATCATTCTTTATTTTAAAAGTGAGTATAGGTGAGATGTAAAAACGGAAAGTGGGGCTGTGGCTCAAAGTAGTAGAGTGCTAGCCTTGAGCAAAAGAGCTCTTAAGTTCAATCCCCATAGCTGACCAAAAAAATAAAAAATGACTATTTTTGCTGGGCCTTGTTGGCTCACGCCTGTAATCTTAGCTACTCAGGAGGCTGAGATCTGAGGATCACAGTTCAAAGCCAGCCAGGGCAGGAAAGTCCATGGGACTCGTATAAAAAATTAACCACCAGAAAACTGGAAGTAGAGATGTGGCTTTAGTGGTAGAGAGCTTGCCTTGAGCAAAAATGCTCAGGAGCAGCACCCAGACCCAGAGTTCAAGTCCCATGACCAAGCCTGCACCCTGCCCCCCCAAAAAGAGGATATACATATTTACTCTTAGAGCAAACTTTCTGATTTTTATAGTTCTTACAAACAGGATCCCAGCCCTGCTCCTCTTGTTCCTAGATGATTCTCTCATACTGCTTTCATATAAGAACTTAAGTTGGGGCTGGGAAGGTGGGTCAGTGGTAGAGTGCTTGCCTTGCATGCATGAGGCTCTGGGTTCAGTTCCTCAGCACCACATAAGCAGAACAAGCCAGAAGTGACGCTGTGGCGCTGGCCTTGAGCTGAAGAGCTGAGGGACAGAGCCCAGGCCCAGAGTTCAGGCCCTATGACCGACAAAAAAAAAAAAAGAAAAAAATAAGAGTTACCTATATCTGCTTTGAACTGGAACTTGCCATTATGTATTTGTCTTGTAATTTCTGACAAGTTAATCTCTGAGCTTTGCTTACTGAGAAATACCGAGGGTTTTTTTGTAAGGACATGTTATCTGAGATGGATTTAACCGTAAGTGTAGCATGACCAATCCAGCATTCTAAAGAACACAACAAAGACTGTACATATATAGCACTTAGATACAGTCTTCTTGAATTCTAATGCAAAAAAATCTCTAAAAGCTAGTTCAAGGGAAGGAAAATACTTGAGAGTACGACAGGTTGTACTTGAGATTTCTTTCCAGTAGATAAGAGTATGTATATGAAATTTTTTTTCACAGATTTATTTTTTTGGGGGTCCAGTCGTGGGGCCTGAACTCTGGACCTGGGCGCTGTCCCTCAGCTCTTCAGCTCAAGGCTAGCGCTCTACCACTTGAGCCACAGCGCCACTTCCGGCTTTTTTCTTTTTGCTTATGTGGTGCTGAGGAATTGAACCCAGAGCCTCAGGCATGCAAGGCAAGCGCTCTACCACTGAGCCACCTTCCCAGCCCCTCTCAAGATTTTTTTCTCTGTCAGAATTAATCCAGAATGTGTCTCTCTATAACAAAAAGTTGCGCTCAATGCACATCAAGGATGTCAACATCTATTTTCTTACCTCTGTCCATCTGATGACTTTTCCATTTGCTTTATACTCTGATCCATGGAATATCTTCACATTTGTTATAGATTCCATAGACTTTCCATCTATAGGACTTACAACACTAAAACAGAGGAAAGGAAAAGACAGAACTGGTAAGTGCTGCTGCTAATCACACTGGAGGCCTTGCTGGTCACATCTGTGCAGCATACCCTAGCAGAAGCCATTGTACAAACTCACTCATGACAGGGCCCATGCATGGAAATAATTCAAACACATTTCAAAAACAGGACATTCTGTCTCAGGAACTGGTTCTCTTTACAATAACAAATCACTGAATCAAGGCTGACCTTTTTCCAGGTTTCCTTCCCTCCCCCCCTCCCTACACCTTTTGGCAGTACTGAGGATTGTACTCAGGGCCTAACACTTGCTAGGTAGGTACGACCACTTGAGCTACATCACAGCACACCAGCGTTCCTTCTTTCAGTCAGTGCTTACCCACTCACCCCAACTGGCTCTACACTCTGCTCCTGATGCTGTAGCATTCATCATACAATTCTTCAAAAGTCTGCGTATGTCTTACAAATGAACTTCTAAGGGGGAGGGGAGTACGACACCGTCAATTCTGTGTGCTGTATTTCTAGTACTGGCCCACTGGTTGGGAACACAGGAGTTTAATGAATGTTTATTAAGAACTAAGGCTAGGAATGTGGTTCAATGGCAGAGCACTAATGGTAGAGAATGCCTAAGCCTCTGGATTCAACCCCAAAACCAAAAAAGTGTTACTTGTCCAAGTACTGGTGTGAATGGATGAACCACTGTCCAGGTCTACAAATTCCCTTCACTGCTAAGGTCCATGACCACCTGGGATAAATGAAAGGCCTTATTCGACAGAAACTAAAGCATAAAAGGGTTAGGGATGTGGCTCAAATAGTAGAGGTCTAAACCACTCATAAAAAAAGGTGTGTGTGTACACTAAAAGAGGCCTTAGTTTGTTAGAATACTTGGAAGCAAGAAGTCCAGATAAATTGGGGCAAATTAGAAAACAAACCTAAGCTGGCCATACCCACAATCCTCACTACTCAAGCAGAGATCTGAGGATCATGGTTCAAAGCCAGCCTGGGTAGGAAAGTCCTACTTTTTTTTTTTTTTTTGGTTCTTTCAGGGCTTGAAGTCTGGGCCTGGGCGCTGTCCCTCAGCTCTTCAGCTCAAGGCTAGCGCTCTACAACTTGATCCACAGCGTCACTTCTGTTTTTCGGAATGGTTAATTGGAGATAAGAGTCTCATGGACTTTTCCTGCCTGCGCTGGCTTTGAACCATGATCCTCAGATCTCAGCCTCCTGAGTAGCTAGGATTACAGGCATGAGCCACCGGCACCTGACGAGATTTATCTCCAATTAATCACCAGAAAAACAAGTGGTGCTGTGGCTCAAAGTGGCACTAGCTTTGAGCTGAAGAACTCAGGGACAGAGCCCAAGCCCAGAGTTCAAGCCCCACAACCGACAAAAAAAAAAAAAAAACTCACAAAAATCAAAACAAAACAAAAAAACCCACAAAACCCCCACAAATCTATGCATTACAAACTGAATTACTGAGTTTAAGCGTTTTTTCTGGCTACTCTTTGTCCCATTTTCTTCTTTTCTTCCCTCATTTCTCCTTTCCTTTCTCCCTCCTTATGTCCTTCTCTCCCTCTCCTCTGCAGGGTCTCCTCTTTTTAATCATTAGACAAACATGCCTGGTGTGGTGATAGAGGGGGAGGGGCGGGAGGGTGGCTAGCTGCATTTACCCCTTGTTAACGTTCCTGTCGTCATCCACCCACTGAATGCGGATCTGTTCCTGGGGATCCTCGGCGTCTGCCTTGCCACAGGTGATAGTGAAGTCCTTCATCTCCCGAAGCGCCTGCCTCAGGGAATCCATGTTCTCTGCAGTGATCTGGACCATAACTCCATCTAAGAATCAGCACCAAGATAGTACACATGGAAACAGTGCAAAGAATCAGCACCAAGATAGTACACATGGAAACAGTGCAAAGCCTCGAAGGACGGCGAAACATCTAGCAGATCCTCAGCATTATAAACGAAACTTCACTCTGTTCCCCAAAGCCGACAGATACAAAAAGACTTTCTTCTTTGAGCTGAATCCTCCACTCACTGAAAGACCTACGAAAGCAAATGCCAAGGTGGGCTCTGCTTAAAACCTGTCAATTTCATTTCAGACTCCAATAAAGATTTCTCCTGAGGGCTGGGAAGGTGGCTCAGTGGTAGAGCGCTTGCCTTGCATGCCAGAGGCCCTGGGTTCGATTCCTCAGCACCACATAAGCAAAAAGAAAAAAGCTGGGAGTGACGCTGTGGTTCAAGTGGTATAGCTCTCTCCTTGAGCTAAAGAGCTGAGGGACAGCATCCAGGCCCAGAGTTTAAGCCCCATGATCAAAACAAAACAGTCTCACAGACACTACCATGGCTTTGTTTTTTGTCTGTTTTTGAGATGGGGCCTTGCAGAGTTGCCACACTGGTCTTGAGTGCCTGGGCTTCAGTGATCTTATCTCAGTGTTCCAAGTCACCAAGACTATAGGCATGAGCCACCATAGCTAGGTCCCATGGCAGTTTTAATGTGCTTAAGAGTGGCAAGCCAGTGAATAAATAATAGGGCCAGACATCTACAGTAGAAATGGCAATGGCTTCTCTTAATATTGCCTGCATTTTGTTATATAATTAGGACTGAATTAGTGCAAAGGGAGTAAACAACATATACATTACCTTCCACAATGCTAGATTTGGCAAGGTATCCTGAAGAGGATTTCAGAGCTCCACTAAACACAAAGAAACTGGCACCAGTCACTAGAAACAGCAATAGAAAGAGTCTGTTAAGGTAAACTTTGGGATAGAGGGATGGGAGGTAGTAATTAAAAATGTCAAATAAAGGGGGCCGGGAAAATACTCAATGGTAGAGCGCTTGCCTAGCATGTTTGAGATCCTGGGTTTGATTCCTCAGCACCACATAAGCAGAAAAAGCCAGAAGTAGTGCTGTGGCTCAAGTGGTAGAGTGCTAGCCTTGAGCTGAAGAGCTGAGGGACAGTGCACAGGCCCAGAGTTCAGGCCCCACGACCAGACCCAAAAAAAAAAAGATTTCTCCTGAGTCTGCTCAAAGGGGAAAATCAGCCAGGCGCCAGTGGCTCATGCTTGTTGTAATCCTAGCTACTCAGGAGGCTGAGATCTGAGGCTCATGTTTCAAAGCCAGCCCAGGCAAGAAAGTCTGTGAGACTCTTAATTTCTAATTAACCACCAGAAAACCAGAAGTGGTGCTATGGCTCAAGTGGTAGAGTGCTTGTCTTGAGCTGAAGAGCTGAGGGACAGTACCCAGGCCCAGAGTTCAGGCCCCCACAACCAACAACAAAAAAAAAAAGATGCGGGGGGGGGAATCAAACATGGTCACTTTGCTCTTCTGGCCTCACAGGACAATTTGTTTCTATTTCCTCTCTTCCATTAAGCCCCGCCTGACATGCTCTCATCCTGCCTACCCAAGCATCATGAAACAGGGTCAAGCTATGCATTTCTGCACACTCAAGATTACTCATCCAGAGGAATCAGCAAGCACAATAAAATAGCTATTGGAACTTATCAAGTTTTAGGGTAATTTGAATTTTAGCGTTCAGGAAACAAAAGCAGGATTAGAAGTTCAAGGCCAAGCTAAGCTATAGCTAGACCCTAGCTCCAACAACAACAAAACGTGCCATGTCTCC